CTCACACCCGTGCCCATCAGAGGTCAGCTCCTGCACTTGTGTTCCCTGGTCTCCATCCCCTTATCTGTTTATGGACCTCCCCCTTCCTTGCTCCCCTCTTCTCCATCATCGATTTCTTAGTCTCTACTTGCTCAGTCCGTAGTGTACAAATGTGCTTTAGTATCTTCCACCTTAAAAAAAAATCTTACATTTCCCAATCTCATATCCCCCTCCAAACAGTGTATCATTTCTGAGTGGAGTTTTACAGTAAGATTTCTGGCACAAGTTATCTAAATCTGGAATCTCTACTTCCTCACCTCCTTCTTCCCCTTCAAGTCTTCCCAACCTGGCTTCTTCCCGCATTATTCTACTGACGCTGCTCTCGCATCTGTTGTGCACTGATACAGCTCAAAGGGTTTGGAGAAAAACACACAACCAAGCTGACTGACGTGACTTTAAGCTTGTGATGACTACTAACAGGTCCTTAATGCTACGCAGAGGTTCCACTACATTTCTTTAGTTTATCTACACTCCCAGTCTCCGGAGTATTTTATACTTTTTCTTCTCAGACCTCCAGTATGTTCCCATTCATACTCTGGTAGATGACCTTGCTTCCTACTTTACTTTCTTGCTTTATGGAAAACTGAAAAAGTTGGAAGAGAACTTTCACAGTGGACACACCTGAAACGACCCAGTACTTGTCCCTGTGTCCAACCTTCTGTCGTGTTAACTAAGGTGTCCATAGTCCTCACCAAGGCCCAATCCTCCATTTGTGCCCTAGATCCCATCTTCTCTTACCCACTCATTCAATGTCCTGGTAATTCTGCCCTGTCCTCTTGATTCATCAATGTTTTTCTGTACTAGGTTATTCTCAGCACCCTACAAATGTGTTCCTTCTGTGAAAAACAACAGCAACGTGGCAAGAACAAAAACTTCTCTGGGCCCCAGTACTCCTCCAGCTACCACTCCCATTTCTTTGAACCATGTTCATTTTGCTCAAAGCACAGCAAGCCAAAAAGGCTGAGATGCAGAGGTCTGCAGCACAGAGAGGGTTTATTCACAAGGCAGCCAAGCAAGGAGACAGGAGAAAATCTTGGATCAGCCTCCCCAGAGGAGGTGAGAGGCTCAGGGTATTTATGGGATAAGGAATGAAGCAGCAGGGCAGTCTGAGGCATGGGGATTGACTGGAAGAAGGTGTAGTAATCGTGGTTCTGTGCAGGCTCAATGAAGCTCCAGGCCTCTGCACGTTCAAACATGGAGACACTCAGCACCATCTGAGGGTGAATTTCTCAGCCCTGTGATGTCAAAGGGTCACTGAGCAGACTCTCACGCATGCCCAGTTGGAGGGTGAGTGGTCCTGCCTAGTCTTCACCAGCTCTGCTGAACTACACATAGCTGACTCCAAGTTCTTGGAAAAACAACTCATGCAAACATCTTATTAAGCTACATGCTACTTGGAGGACATGCAAATCTTTAGTAGCAATCAATAATTAAAACAGCCTTGATGAGTGAAGGCAGGTTACAGGTAAAATGGATTTGACTGATGATTACCCACAGTTTCATTTGTGTAGCCAACTGTTTTGAAAGAGCAGGCTACACTTGATATCTCTAGATTCACTCCTCGTTTTCTCCTGAATCCACCCCAGTCAGGCTTTTCCCACCAATATCTCTCGATCCACTCCAAGAAAACACCTCTTAACAAAATCAACCAATAGCTTCTATGTTATCAAATCTAAAGGTTGATGCTCTTGTTTGATGGATCAACAGTGTTTGACTGCCCTTCTCCTGGGAACACTCACTTCATTTGGCAACCAGGACTTCACGCTTGCCCAGTTTTCCACCGACCTCTCTGTACTCTCCTGTCAGCCTCCTTTTCTGGTTCTTCTTTGTTGCCTTAGATGGTGGAGAGGGTCAGGGTTCAGTGTGTAAACCTAGTCTCTTTACTTTCTACACTTGGTCTCTTGGTGGTTTCATCCAGTCTCGAGGTTTTAAATTCCATATGTGTGCTCTAATGACTTCCTATTTCATACCTTACCCTGGTTCTCTTCCCTGAACTCCAGATCCATTTAAGTGTCCAAATGCCTATTCAGCTTCTCCATGGGGATAATTAACTTTGAAGTGCTTGTTAAAAAGCCCAAAACTGAATTCTTCATTTTCTCTCCCTAAGCCCTGCTTCTTCTGCAGGCTTCCTCATCTCAGTAATGACAACTCCATTCTTTAAGTTTCTCAGACCAAAGTCACTCTTGACTTCCTTTTCTCCCTCACATCCCACATCCAGTTCATCAGCAAAACCTGTTGGCTCTACCTTCAAAATATTTCTGAAGTGTAACCACTTCTTACCACCACCTCCACTGTTCATAATCCGGGCCAGCCATCATCACTTATTGCAATAATTACATTATTTCAAGAGCTTCCTAACTGGTTTCTACTCTTTTTAATTTATTTTTTGGCCTCTGCTTCTGTTCTTGCTTCCATATAGTCTGTTGTTAACATAGCAGCCAGAATGATCCATTTCAAACTCCAATCAGGTCCTATAAATCATCTAATTAAAAACTTGCAGTGGGGTTGTTGGGGGGGATTGCTCATTGGTAGATCACATACTTAGCATGCAAGAGGTCCTGGGTTCAACCCCCAACATCTCCCATTTAATTTAAAAAAAAAAGAAGAAAAGAGAAATAGAAAAAAGCTCTTCATGCTTAAAAAACAAAACAAAAAAATACTTTCTACATCTTTCAGAATAAAAGTCAAAGTTCACACTGTGTCGATAGGACCATCCCTGTTCTGACCCCACTTCTTCTCCACTCTCTCCTGATATCCTTCTTGCTTCCTCCTCTTTGACCATCTGGCCTCCTTGGCTCTTTTTTCACATGCCAGGCACAATCTTGCCTCAGGGCCTTTTCAACCATCTTTCCCTCGGCTTGGAAAACTTCTCCCCAGACATCTGCATGCCTCATCCCTCACCCAGGGGTCTTACAGAAATGTTGCTTTGCTCTTTAGGCCTTCCCTCACCAGCCTGTCTAGAATTGCCTACCCTGCCACCCCCACCACTTCCAGTCTCCATTCTCAGCTTTATCTTTGGCTTTCACACTCACTACTATTTTACATACTGTATGTTTTATTTATTTATCTTATGATCTGTCTTTCCTATTACAAGGTAAACTCCAAAGGGCAGGGATCTTTAAAATGTTTCACTCATCACTGTACCTTCAGTATCTAGAAGAGTGCCTGGCACCAAACAGGTCTTTGCTCAACTGTTAACAAGTTGAGTAAGATAACGACAGAGAAGATCTAACACCTTTTAGTCATGTGGGGGCAGACATGAATATGCAGAGAACTGGATTTAATCAGGGCCTGGTTTCTCCCAGCAACCACTTCATTCTTCCAGCTTCCCACAATTATCCATATGACTTTGGAAGAATTAACAATTTCTGTCAATTTTTCTAACAAATATGGAATCATAAAGTGCTAACCCTCCATTTAGACTAAAGGTACTTAAAACAATGCCTAAGTGAGGAGGGTACAGCTCAGTGGCAGAGCGTATGCTTAGCATGCACAAGGTCCTGAGTTCAATCCCTAGTATCTCCATTAAAATAAATAAGTAAACCTAATTACCTCCCCCCAAAACAAAAAAGATAAATAAAGAAAATATTTTTTTTTAAAAAGCAATGCCTAGAACAGCTAGTACTCAATAAATGCTATCAGTCATTACTCTTCACACTAATTATTGTTACTATGGAAACACTCTCCCTCTGCCTCCATGATACCACACATGTTTATGGTTTCCTCTTACCTCACTGGCTCTCCCTCCTCTACCTAACTGCTGAACATCAGAGCGAGGCCCAGAGCTCAGTGCTAGGCCTTCTTCCCTCTGCTGCACTTTGTTTCTAAATAATGTTATCCTTATCCAGTCCCTCAATCTGTAATACCACCGATGTTGATTACTTTCAAATTTGCATCTCCCCCCACTTTATGCTGATAACTTTCAAATTTGTATCTCTAGCCAAGACCTCTCTCCTCTCACTTTGGATTATATTTCCCCCTGCTTTTGTGGTCTTACCGCTTGGGTGTCACACAAGCATGTATTTAAATTAGCATATCTGCGGTGGTTTTGAAAAATGGCCATGCATTTTTGGTAGTCCTTCTTTCCCTCTCATTTGAGTGTAAGCCAGACTTAGTGACTAGCTTCTAACGAACAGAATATGGTGGAAGTGATGGTGTGTGACTTATGAGACCACATAAAAAGGCATCTAGCTTCCTCTCTCTTGTAGAGTCTTCACTTTGGGACACCAGCTGCATGTTCTAAAGACACTCAAGAGGCCCTATGGAGAAGTCCATGTGGTGAGAAACTGAGGCCTCTTGCTTACAGCCAGTGAGGAAATAAAGATAAAAATGGATGCTCCCGCCCCAGTCAAGTCAGATGACTACAGTCCTGGGTGACGTCTGGATGGTAACCTCATGGAAGCCCAAACTGGAACCACCCAGCTAAGCTGTTTCAGAATAACTGCCTTACAGAATACGTATAGAATACATTCAGGGTATGTACTTGCCGTTTTAGGTTGCTGTTTTATGGTAATTTGCTATGTGTTAAAATCTCCAGCTATGATTTGTGGATTTGTCTCTTTCTCCTTTAAGTTTTGTCAATTTTTTGCTTCATGTACTTTGAAGTCTTCATCTCTTTCTTCCTAACAGTTTCTAAAGCATGCCACAGTGTATCTTGCCTCTGGGCTTTTGCATGTGCCAGCCCGGGATCACAATGCTCCACTCTGGCTCTTCATGAGCTGGCTTTTTCTTCTCCATCAAGGTCAGTGTAATTGTCAGCTTCCCAGAGATGCCTTCCCCAATCATTTGTATCTAAAATCGACACCTTCCCCACCATAATTATTCTGTATCCCATTATTCTCCCTATATTCTTCATGACAATGATCACTATCTGTAAGTGTGTCATTGGATCAATTACTTGCTTCTCTTATCTTGACTCCCTCACTAGAATGTAAGCTTCATAAAAGCAGGGAACCAGGGGGGTGGGTATAGCTCAGTGGTAGAGTGTGTGCCTACCATGCATGAGGTCTTGAGTTCAATCCCCAGTACCTCCATTTAAAAATAAATTAAAGTAAGGAACCAGTTGATCGTACCTCCCTATCTCCAGAGTCTGGTAAAGTCCCTACCACATAACAGAAGCTTCATATATCTTTGTTAGGTGAGAGACTGATACAAAGTACATGAGATGGAGTTCTCTCTTCTTGGACCAAGTCATCCTAGGATTTCCATAGCTGTTTGTGGCAAACAGCAAAGAACAGAACTGAGTCCTACAAGCTGGTTTGACTCTACCTGGATGACTTAGCATTGGAGTCCTTGATCTCTGACACAGTTTATACAGCATTTAAAGAAAATCAAGCTATGTGTGTCTGTGTGTCTTAAAATAGATAACATCTCCACTCAACTATAGAACAAGCCCCAGCAGGGGCACTGGCAAAACTGTAACTTCAACTCAGAGTGATAAGACAGGAATGAGTCCCCATTTAGAGGGAAACCCACTAGTTTTGTATAACCAGTTCTTATTGAGCAACCTCTAAGATTCTTGCTTAGGAAACCAGATTTCAAACATATAGTCTTGTTTCCTAGGTCCTCACACACGTACATCTAGGTTGCTTATATGTATGCAGGTAGGGGATGCTAGGTACACTACAGATTGCCAAAATGCACCTATTTCATTTTCTAATGCATCAAAGTGGCAGCACGACCCAAGATCTTGGGACTTATTCAATAAGAAAAACTGAGACTAGCCTTTGGTAATTCTTTGGCTTAGACACAGATCAATGATGCCTAGGGAAAGGAGTCTTATTTTTCCCCTAAAATATTAATCAATTGTCCTCCATTAAAATATATTGATCTAATGAAAAAAATAGAAATTGATCCTAATATGAACTTTTCTGTGCATAAATCTTTTGACAAGCATGAAAATTAAAAAATCAATTTATATCTAAGTAAAAAGAATGATAAAAAATGAACATTAAAGAAAATGGAAAAACAGAATCCTACTGACCAAGTTTTATTTGGGACTATTTCTTTGTTGTCTTTGGTTTAACAAAGTTTTAAAGCTCTTCTGTTTATAGGGAAAGAAGAAGTTTTCACCTTCCTGTCTGTATTATACAAAAGGATGTTCTAAATCCTCTGATCCTCCCCAGGACATGACCCCACCCCAGTCTCCAGGGAAAGGCCCTTTGTCTTAGATTCCAGGCCTTCCCTTCTGCAGTTTCCCTCTGACTTTACCTTGAGACGACTGCTTCCTCTCCCCAAGGCCCTGTGTCCTGCTGCTTCCTTCCTCTCCCTTCCCTGATCCTTCTTCTCACTGAGACCTGCCCTGGAATAAATATAAGCATCCTGAAGTATTACTGATTGATTATAGTTATTATGTTGTTTTCAGATATTTAGCATTTGATCAGAGAATAAGTCCCCTTTGTGGTTAAAGTCATCAAAATACAATTCAACGTGTGACACTGTATCCATCAGCCCTCTCATGGGGTCAGTGCTTCTCGGGATAGGAGAGTCTCCCAGAATGCATGGACGGTAGGAACTGTATCAGCTTTGGAGCAAGCAGGCTTGGGTTGATCCTTCATTCTGCCAGCTAAGTGGTCCTCTGTAGCTCGCTGAACTTCGCTGAACCTCAGCATTCATCCATTGTAAAATAAAAACTGAAGCGTCTATTTCCCAGGGTTGCTGAGAGGATTAAGTCAGATAATATATGGAGAACTTCTAGCACAGACCCTGACACACGGTTGGTATTTATAAGAGGAATGTCTTTCTCCCCTACTCTTCCTTATATGAACCAGCAGACACACATTCAGGGCATTTCTTAGGATTGCCAAGCCTTCCATAATTACTCCAAACTCACTTTAATTGAGAAGCTCAATTAAAACTAGAGTGGCTTCTGCAGTAGGCAAGGGCCTGGGTGAACTGCTGGAGCTGTCGTTGCCGAAGGATTTATTTTGAGAGGCAATGGTGATCCTATCAGCAACTATCAGCACTTGAGAATAAAAAACAGAGCAGGGGAAGGTCCCACTGGGTGCCTCTGACACAGTACTGAGTATCTAGATGGGATCACAGAGCCTGCCTTCTATCAACAACACTCACTGCAAATCTTCTGGGTGCTAGGCACTAGGCAAAAAAGGAGAATAAAACATACTCTTCATGAAGGCAACATCACAGCACTGTGGAATGTACTGTAATTGAGGGACAAACTCTGGAAGGCACAGAGAAGTATTCTAGAATTGAATATTCCAGATAACTGAAACACCCTATATTATAATATGATTTAGTTATCTACTGCAGTGTAACAAACCACCTCAAATGTAGTGATGGAAAATACGATCATGTTACTATGCTCATTGACTCTATGGGTCAGGAATTCATAGAGGGCACAGCAGGGATGGTTTGTCTCTGCCTCCTGACGTCTGGGGCCTCGGCTGGGATGGCTGGAATGACCTAGACAGCTGGGGCCATCGTTATCTGGAAGCTTCTTCATTAATATGTTCGGCACCTGAGCTGGGCTCAGCTGGGACCTACATGTAGCCTTTCCAGGTGACTTGAGCCTGTTATAATGTGAGTTTCAAGAGGGAACGAACTGAGAGTCAACATTCCAAAAGAGCCAGGCAGAGTCGCGTGGTTTTTATGACCTGCGTGAACAGATAACAGGGTGCGGCCCATTAAGAAGAAGACAAACTGTTCAGTGTGGCTGGCCTTCCATTTATGGCTGGTGATGTACCAGAACAAGAGTCCAGGAAATGTGGCGAGGCCAGATCAAGAGTGACTTCATGTGCCTTACCGGGGAGTGTGTACACTACCTTGTAGGTAATACAGAACTACCATCGGAGAATTTTGAATTTGAGAGTATTTTAGAAATATTATGATGGCAGCTTGAAGGAAGTGGGACTGCATAAAGAAAAATCATTTAAGATACCATTGCAATAGTTCAAGAAAGGAGGAAGACCTTAACTAAGGCATTGGCAGTGAGACTTAATGGATAGGAACAGCTTCAAGAATTATGAGGAGGTAGAATCAAAAGAGTGTAATGACTTGTAAAATAGGTGATAGGGAGTGGAAGGAACTTGGATGGTCTCCCAGGTTTTTGTTTTAGATGTTAGGTGGATAGTAATGCTATTTCAAGAAAAAGTGAGTATATTAGAAGTAGAACAGTTTTGTAGAAAAGATGAGTTTGGTTTTGGATGCTTTGAGTTTGATGCATTTAATGGGCCACCCAATAGAAGATGTCCAATAGACAGCTGGATTTATAAATCAGGAAATACTTGGTCTAGAAAAAGAGAATTAAGAGTCATCAGCCTATTGGTGGTGGTTGACAAACTGAGATTCAATCAAATTGTCTAGGAAGAACAGAAAACAGGGAATAGACGGATTCTTCAAGATCTCCAACATTTTCTCAATGGACAAAGACAGAGATAGTTTCAGGAGACACTGAGAAGAGCTTCAAGCAGTGGGACAAGAATGGGAAGAAACTGATGTCATGGAAGTCAAAAGACAAATATAAGAAAGAAAACAGAGCTAGCAGCATCAATGCTACAGAAAGTCCAAGTACAATAAAGACTAATAAGCATCCTTTGCAGGTGACAAGGCCACACCCACAGCTGAAGGAGTGAGCCCCCAGGGAAGGAAATGGATAAAGTCACAGCAGGGACCCTGGCCTTAAAGAGACCTGTGATCAGCGAAAATTACCAGGACAGAGATTCAGGACCAAGAAAGATGCTCAATGACACAAGTTGGTGGCAAAGATGAAGAGGGTCTCAGAGGCCAGGTGAGAGCACATATTTCAAACATATGCTCAAGGTTGGGGATTAGTGAAGAGCAAAGGTGAACTGAGGTCCAGCCTCAGAATGGCTTAAATATCTTCTGTCCTGGGAACTAGAACAGGCCCAAACCTACAGACAAGAGGCAAATGACAAGCTTTTGGGGAGCCATCTTCTCTACTTAAATTACTTCTTTGCATCCAGATTAGTCGGTGCAATTTGGGTTCAAAGTACCATAAACCCAAGTCAAACTAGCAAAAATAAAAAGGGGAAAAATATTAGAAGAATTTTGGTGTCTCTCTCACAAATCAAAGGTTGAATAACTGAATCACAGGAAACACTAGTGTGCAGTAGACAGAACATCAGGGAATCTGAAACTGGGGAGTCAAACTCCTCTCTGATCCTTTCCCCATCACTGCTTGGAGTTGACTTCATTCTCTGGACGTAGAACACATTCTCACCAACTGCACTGAAGTTTGATATCTTGTGGTTCTCACTACTGAAGGGGGACAGTTCTAAAAGCATTCCAAGGACTGACTCTGATTGAGTCTGATGCCCACCTGCAGATGAATCAAGAGGAACTAAGAATCTCATTTCTGGAATGGAGAAAGGCAGGGGAAGGACCTTCCAGGAGATGGGGGAGGAGCTGGGTGGACAAGCCAATTGCTCCTCAGTCTACATATTCAACTTCAAAGATCATTTATTATTCTCAGAAGTCCTGGGCTTCCCTCTGCTCTACAGGCTTATTAATAGGGTGACCAGATGTTCTAGTTTGTCTGGATAGTCCCCCACCCCCCTTTTTTTAACACCTGCTATCTTGATGCAATTATTAACAGTACCCTTTTCACTTTCACAAATCTCCTGATTTGGAAGCTAGGTTAGGCGGCTGTCTTATAAATTGGTGCTATGATTCTGACCTGGCCAAAGTATAGGAGGAAAGAGTCTTTAAAGGGGGGTTTAAATTACAGATTATGACCTCTTTTAGGGTAGAGACTATTTACGAGGCACCTCAGTACCCAAGACAGCTGACACTCAGTAAGTGTTGAATCAAGGAACAAATGTTATAAAAACCTTTCTTCCCTCAAAGGATTTGTAAAGTCTCATTTGACACATTTTCCCAGCCCTAGGTAATATTATGTATAACAGCTAATAGTATTCTAGACTCTCAGAACCAAAAGGAAATGTGCAGACTATGTAGTCCAAACCCCTTCCAATTAGATGATAAACTCTGTGAGCACAGCCCTTGTATCTGTCTTGTTTAGTGGAGGCTAAATGCCCAGAAGCTGGCAGGTAGC